GGTACAATGCTGGATGGATCCATGCTTTCATGTTGTTGATGCCAATTTCTGACCCTACCATCTGACTATCGCAGCAGAAATCGAGACTCCTCTGATCAGGCAATGTGTTTCCAGTCTTCTATTGTCTAATTTTGGTGAGCCTGTGCAAATTGTAGCCTCAGTTTCCTGTTCTTAGCTGACAGGAGTGGCACCCTGTGTGGTCTTCTGCTGCTGTAGCCCATTCTTCTCTGACTTCTGGCATCAACAAGGCATTTGCGTCCACAGAACTGCCGCTCACTTTATATTTACTCTTTTTCGGATCACTCTCTGTAAACTCTAGAGATGGTTGAGCATGAAATTCCCAGTAGATCAACAGCTTCTGAAATACTCAGACCATCCCGTCTGTCACCAGTCATCATGCCACAATCAAAGTCACTTAAATCACTCGAGGAAGAGTGTTCATAATCTGACAATTACACTGAAAAAAAGGAAGTGCATTTTCAGATTTTAATCAAAGATTACAAGAGCAAATCATTTTTTTCTTAATGACATGCACAGATAAATTATTCACCACAAAACTAGCAATGTGAGCTAACAAAATTATATGGTTAGTTTTGATTTCTTCAGGACTTTAAATATGTAATTTGAACAAGCAGGAAAAATATTTTTGAGTGTTAGCTTATTGGGTTTTACAGTGTAGCAATGCTCTTTATAGTTCTCTCAAAAGCAAATATCAAACAAATTAATAATGTTTCCTTGTTCTAGTTGAAGTTGATTTTGCTGTGTCACCATCATAGTGCACAGTGACTCTGCAACCAGAGATGATTGTGGAATGTAATTTTCCACTCCCCCTGCTTTTGCTGATGTGTAATTCACCTGCAAGCTTTTGTCATGTGCATCTTTGAGGAAGTGTTTCCAATCTCTCTCGCTCTGTCTCTTGTTTTCTCTCTGCATTGTCTGTCTATTGAGAGAGAAGAAGGTGTGTTGACTGCATTGATTGTATGAAAGGCGTTTTCTGTGTGTGAGAATAAATAGAACATTTCTCAGAGACTTGTGTTTCACACATGGGGGTTGGTCCTTTCATTTTTGTTTTCAGCTGAGGAAGCAATTGATTTAGTCAACCATTTCAATCAGTGACTTTAGTTATTTGATGAACTATTAGTTTGTTTGGCTGGGAAGATGACATGTAATAGTTCACCTAAAAATGAAAAGTACTACATAGTGTACCTACCCTCAAGCCAGCCTTGGTTTATATATATATATATATGAATTCCTTCTTTCTGACAGACACTGTTTGAGTAGTCAAAATTGTATCTTGATTCTTCCATGCTCTATAATGTTGTTGAGTAGTGGTCGGTTTATTTTAACGCTTCCAAAAGTGCATAAATCCATCATAAAACTAATCGCTACGCTGCTTGGTGGATAGCACACATTTTATGAAGCGAATCAATGTTTTTGTAATAAATATATTTCTAAATTTTAATTTATAAATATAAAAATAATGCATATTATTTATCATTTCTAAAACCCGAAGCACTACAACAACTGAGAAAATTTAAACAATTAATACAATACAAGAATTCAACATAAAAAAAAGAATAACATATAAACACATTAGAAAGATTAAGAATATCACTGATTTCTTGACTGACCATTGATATGGGATAAATAATGGGATAAGTTTAATTCTTGGGTAAACTATTTCTTTAATAATGACAGTGAGGTTAACAAAATTTCTTTTTTTTCAATTTTCAATTTAAATTTTTTTCAAATTTCAATTTTATTGTCTTTCAAATTTGTATGGCTTTTTTATTTTGTGAACTACAATTGAAGATAGTTTAAAAAATGTTTTATTTAGTTGTAAAAAATAACACGATGCATTATAAAATAGAGGTTCTTTATTTAGATAGATGGTTCTATTGGTTCATTCCGGTTCCTTGTAATAAAGGATGATTCTTTCAATTCTTTTGAAATCTTCTTCAAACCAAGAAAAAATAATCTTTTAAGAGTTATTTACGAAAATGTTCTTTGGGGAACCAAGAATGGTTCATCCATGGCATAAACAAAACAAAACAAAACAAAACAAAACAAAACAAAACAAAACAAAACAAAACAAAACAAAACAAAACAAAACAAAACAAAACAAAACAAAAAACAAAACATAAAAAAATGTCTTTTATTGCTGGACAGAGGAAAGTTTTGAGTGTTGAATGTGTTATTTTAGTTTTGGTATTAAAGTGTAAATGTACATGTACTCAATAATATTTATTCATCACATATTATAAAATATGCTAACAGCAAAGTATATTTTTTTAGTAATTAATAGTGGTTTTAAACCTCTTAGTATTGCTGAGAGCAATGTTTAGATATGGCAAGCTATTTTAGCTTAAAACATTTCCATTATTATTTATCATAATTGCATTTTAACTAGTAAGGATGAAATCGAAGCAATATTAAATTCTTATTAGTTAGAATGGCCAGTGTTGGAGGTAACGAATTACAAGTATGTTGAGTTTAGTCATATATATATATTTTTTTCCGTTTCTAAGAACAGTTGAAGTCAGAATTATTAGCCCCCCCTGCATTATTCGCCCCCCTATTTAATTTTTTCCCTAATTCCTGTTTAATGGAGAGAAGATATTTTTTCAACCTATTTTTAAACATAATAGTTTAATAACTCATTTCTAATAACTGATTCATTTGATCTTTGCCATGATGACAGTAAATAATATTTTACTAGATATTTTTCAAGACACTTCTATACAGCTTAAAGTGAAATTTAAAGGCTTAACTGGGTTAATTACGTTAACTAGGAAGGTTAGGGTAATTAGGCAAGTTATTGTAAAATGATGGTTTGTTCTGTAGTCTATTGAAAAAAAATTAGCTTAAAGGGGTGAATAATTTTATCCCTAAAATGGTGTTTAAAAAATTAAAAACTGCTGTTTTTCTTGCCGAAATAAAACAAATAGGACTTTCCCCAGAAGAAAAAATATTATCAGACACACTGTAAAAATGTTCTTGCTCTGTTAAACATCATGTAGGAAATATTTAAAAAAGAAAAAAAAAAATTCAAAGGGGGCTAATAATTCTGACCTTAACTGTAAGTAATAAGTAATGCATCACTTTTTAAAAAAATTAGTAATAATATTTGAGTTACTTTAAAAAAATACTGCAAGTTACTTTTTAGTTTAGTTAATTAGCTTTTAAAAATACTTTGCTGAATAAAAATTAAAGTTGACAATAAATCACGCAGATAAAGAGAGAATGGGTTTATTATTTTGAACACATTGAAGACGTGGAAAAGGGCATTGCCTCAATGGACTGTGATTTTATCAACACAATCTCATGGTAATTCGTAACTTTTTGATTTAGTGGCTAATTCCTATGAATTCGTTCGATCTAATTCGTACAATTTGGTACGATTTGCTCATCACCCAATGACGGTTGGGGTTAGGGGTGGGGTTAGGTGCCACGCCCCCTTTTTAAAATCGTACATTTTTGGATGACTGAACTCGCACGAATTAGTATGAATTCATACGAATTAGCCACTAAACTGACAAAACGTAATATACTTACGTTTCCTCGTGAGATCAGGCTGGATTTTATTTAAGACAAAACGTACAAAAGTAGCAAGCAGGTTGCTTCAAACTTTCAATAATCTGTATATCCGGCATGCATAGCTTTGGGGTCAGGAAGTTCTCAGATAACTTTAACTTTATCCTTAAATATTATTTTTTGATGTGTTTTTTAAAGGTAAATGAAAGTGTAGGTTAAACAATGCATTGCTAATTGCAGAGCTCCTCCTTCAAAGAAAGAAAGAATGAAAAAAGTTCTGAAAGAGGTCAAGCCCCAGACAGATAATAAAAATTAACCTAATGCATTACCATAAAGAGTAACTAAGTAATGCAACTAGTTAATTTTTGGGGGAGTAACTCAATATTGCAATGCATTACTTTTTAAAAGTAACTTTCTCCAACACTGAATATGGCAATTAGAGCTGTAGCACTCACTGTTGCATTTAAGAAAGCTTTCCAGTGTGGAACAACTCCAAGTAAAAAAGACAGAGCTCCACCCACTCATTGCATATTAACACCAGACCAATGATAGTTCGAAGGTGTTTGCCAACTGAACTCAAGGAGAAGATACTTTGAAGAATGTTGTATGACTTCCTAAGTTATTAATATTATGAATTTTAATGGCTAACAGTTTCCAGCATTTTTCAAAATATATATATTTTTTGTGCTCATCTCATGTACGGACAAATAAGTAAAATTTCATTTTAGTGGAAGTTTCAAAGCTAGCTTTTTGAGTAGGTCATTGTAAATAGCATGAATATGTCATTTCATTTATTTGTTTATTCATTTACCTTCAGCTCACTCCCTTTATTTATCAGGGGCCTCCACAGCGGAATGAACCGCCAACTTATCCAGCATAAGTTTCCCAGTAGTGGGAAACACCCATACACTCTCTCACATTTACACACATACACTACGGCCAATTTAGCTTATTCAATTCACCTATAGCACATGTCATGGGACTGTGGGGGAGAAAAGCACCTGAAGGAAACCCACATATGGGGAGAACATGCAAACTCCACACAAAAATGCCAACTGACCCAGCCAGGGCTCGAACCAGTGATCATCTTGCTGTGAGGCAATAGTGCAAACCACTGAGCCACTGAGTTTGGATGTTCTCCCCTTGTTCGCATGGGTTTCCTCCGAGTGCTCCGGTTTACCCCACAGTCCAAAGACATGCAGATAAACTTGGTAAGCTAAATTGGTTGTGTATGTGTGTGAATGAGTGTGTATGGGTGTTTCCCAGTGTTGGGTTGCAGCTAGAAGGGCATTTGCTGCGTAAAACATATGCTGAATAAGTTGGTGGTTCATTCCGCTGTGGCGACCCCAGATTAATAAAGCGACTAAGCCAAAAAGAAAATGAATGAATTAAAATTTGTCGATAAAACCATAAATTTCAGTATTTATTTATTTTTATTATTAATGTGTAAAATTTTATTTTATTTAGGCGTCTCTGTGACTTCATTTCTTAAATTGCATTCAAAATGAACAAACACAAGCGTGAGGTCAGTGAACTGGGTGAAATGGTTATTTTTTAATATTCCCAAAGTATTATGAGTGTTTGCTCATCATGGTGTCACTTTGAGGCTTTTACTGCATAAATCAGATAAAGTGAATGGGATGGTGAGCTCTGATATTTGTAAGGTGTATGTGTAAGTGTGTGTGTGTGTGTGTGTGTGTGTGTGTGTGTGGAATGCTGCTCTGGCCTGACTCCAGGTTGAGGGAGGATAGCGTTTCCAATCCGATAGCCTGGAAGCATTCAGGTTTGGTGAGTTTCTGAGGCACACACACACTCAAACACACACAGAGAAAGGGAACAGGTTGCTCAGACCAGCCTGGCAAGAAAGATGTGAGACTAAACATTTCCCGGTACTAACTGTTGTAGACACTAAGCAACACGTACACACACACACAGCGTCCTTCAGAATATATACCTATATTTTGATGTACATTTCTGCTAAACACTTGTTTCTGAGCTCCTGGATTTCAGTTATTCCTACATATTTTTTCTCTCATTATTTTCCTCACAGCAGAGGAATGTGAAGATTATGTCAGTGAGAGGCAGGTACAGAGACTAGCGCTAATTACTCTCTCTCTTTCTCTCTCTCTCTCTTTTTTTCTCTCCGCCCGGTCTCCCTCGTTTTCCCTCCCTCCACCTCCTCCTCGATCAGTGAAGGAGAGAAGCAGGGTGAACTAACAGCGAGGGACGGGGAAGTGAAACAGTTTGGAGACAGAAACCAAAAGAGCAAAAGAACAGAACGAAAGTTTTTCACCACTCTGGACTGTCGAGACCTGCAAGAACACTGTAGACAGGGTGAAGCGGCGAGATGAACGTGTCTGCTCTGCTCTACCTTTGATTAGTGCAACACGTCCATTCTCTTTGACAGCTACTAAAGGCGCAGGTAAGTTCATACAAACTCCGGCACGTCTTTACTTTTTTCTCCATCATCCTCTTCTTCAGTCTCTCGTCTGTTTTTCTTTCTGTTCTCAGTGTGTCATCTTCTCACAGATGGTCCACTGATCACGTTCTCCCCTCTGACCTTATTTATTTTCATAGAGTTAAATTGACATCTCTCTCTCTCTCTCTCTTTCCCTCCCTCCTCTCTACAGTTGTAAGGTTAGAATGTCCTTGTGTTGCGAAAACTGTGTTGAAAGTTGCTCTGCGGGTCTTTTGTGTGTGTGTGTGTGTGTGTGTGTGTGTGTGTGTGTGTGTGTGTTGTGTAACTGCACTCAGGGGGTGTGCTATAATTTAGTGTGTGTGAGAGAATCGGGTTTCTGACAGAGAGATGGCTCAATCTGAAAGAAAAAAGAAGTAATGAGAAAGAAGTTAAGTCTGTTTTAGTGTGTGTAAGAAAAACCAAGGGTAGTGAGTAGACTTTTTTTTTTTGAAGGGAAAGGCACAACATGAATGGACAAGACACACGCTTCACTTTAAAAGATTAATCATCATTTCTTGAGCAAATCATTGAATTTAAAGCTACAGAGTCTTGTTTTTCTGCCAATAATGAATGAAAGTTCCTTGTTAAATGTTTTAGCTTCGCATTTGATGTGTGTTTACACTCATTTGTGTTCAAAATGTACTGTAGAGTGTACTGTAGATACATAATATTAACTTTGAGGATGTCTGAAAGATTTCTTAAATGCAAAAAAATGACTATATTTCATAAGCAATGAGTTTAAGAAAGCAAGCATTCTTTTAGAGTTAGCTTAGAGCAATTCTATTTAGCTTTATAGGTAAGAACAATAGCTAGATAACTAGGTAAAAGTTTGCGTAGGTGTGTGTGTTTACTTGGTTATGAAAGAGGTATAATTTTGTCCGCAGAAAGAGCTAGGTAGAAAAACAAAAACCTCCTTTAATCCGATCCACAGACACTTAAATGGTTTTTCATTCTAAATAATCGCATATAATATGTTAGTCATTGTCATTAGTTGTAATTATAACTACCTTTTATATAAATAACAGAATAAGGACAATATGTATGTGTGTGTGTGCTTATGAATGGGTTATTTCACGTAGGGGGTACAGAGGTCAGTGGTCTTGACAGCCGACCCGCTGTGGCTTTGCATTGTGGGGGATGTAGTTTCAAAGAAATTAAATGAAGACATAGCTCTGAGAAAAGACAACCTGTGTGTGCTTGTGTATGCAGCGCGTGTGCGTGTGTGTGTGTGTGTGTGTGTGTCTCCTTGGTCATGTGACTTTCTGTTGTTACTCTAAATACTGCATCTGTTAAATGTGTAGGCATGTTTATTTGGCGACAGACCTTTAGGGGCCCAGTAGTGTGTGCACTTGTGTGTGTGTGTGTGTGTGTGTGATTAAAATCTGATTGGCTGTGGCTCTGACTTGAACCAGTTCTTTCTGTCTCCATTCACCTGCTTATGTGATCTCAGAAGACAGATTATTCACTTGTGTTTAGAATTTATGTATGTAAATCGCTTTCATTCATTTTGTGAATATTGTGAGTATTTTAAATTGAATTTCTGTCTCGGACATTAAAGAAACAGTTCTTTCAGAAATTAAAGTTTGTTATCTGTTAATTTTCTCACACAAAAGTCATCTAAGCTGAAGGTAATGCTTTTTTGTCTTCAGTAAAACATTGAGAAAGATTTTGAGCTGAATGGGTCCTTCCTCATTCAAAAAAGCTGATGGAAAATCAATGGCTTTTATGATTTTGTCATTGAAAAATACATTTACAAACAAATAAAAAGAATAGCCATGACTCCTGACCATACACTGAATATATTATGAAGTAAAACCATTAGTCCCTGCAAGAAACTGAATGTTATTTACAACATTGTTGCGTTGTTTCCTTTATCACAGTGTGTTGTTCTAAATGTTCAGTTTCTTGTATAGGCTGATTTCAACACATTTTAGAAGCCACTGATATAAATTTTGTGTTGATTGCGTGTTTTGAGTCTGAAATTAGTGTTTGTTGACTTGCATCTAATGAATCACCAAGGACCTTGGTTTTAGCTTTTGTCTGTGATTTTAGCTTTATAAGCAGGAATGTCAGTAGAGTTGCTGAGCTCAGTTCATTTATGTCAATCTGTTAAAACATTCTGGGGAAAAAACCCTGAGTCTAAAGAAGTAAAAATAAGTCAGTTGTTGAGTATGGTTTAGTTTTCATGAATCAGTTTAAAATGTCCACACTGATTCACAGCTCTGACTCACTGATTTATTATAACCGTTATTGTGAAACTGTCTCTACATGTCCAAACAGCAATACCCCCCTCAAATCTACCTATCCATCCATCCATATTATGTAACATATTTTATCCATCCATCCATCCATCCATCCATTCATCCATATTATGTAAACATATTATATCCATCCATCCATCTATCCATCCATATTATGCTAACATTATATATTTATCCATCTATTGATCCATCAATCCATAAAACCATTCATCCATCCATCCATCCATTTATACATCCATATTATGTTAACATAATATATTCATCCATCCATCCATCCATCCATCCGTCCATCCATATTATGTTAACATATTATATCCGTCCATCCATCCATCCATCCATCCATCCATCCATCCATAATATTTTAACTTATTATAACCTCCATCCATATTATGTTAACATATTATATCCATCCTTCCATCCATCCATCTATCCATCCATCCATCCATCCATCCATCCATATTATGTTAACATATTATATACATCCATCCTTCCATCTATCCATCAATCCATATTATGTTAACATATTACATCCATCCATCCATCCATCCATATTATTTTAACATATGACATCTGTTTATCCATCCATCCATATTATGTTAGCATAATATATTTATCCATCAATCTATTCATATTATGTTAACAGATTATAATCACCCATTTATATTATGCTAACATAATATATTTATCCATCTATCATCGATCCATTGATACATCCATCCATCCATCCATCCATCCATCCATCCATCCTCCCATCCATCCATATTATGTTAACATAATATATTTATCCATCCATCCATCCATCCATCCATCCTCCCATCCATCCATATCATGTTAACATAATATATTTATCCATCCATCCATCCATCCATCCATCCATCCATCCAGTCATCCATCTATCCATATTATGTTAACAGGTTATATCCACCGATCCATATTATGCTAACATAATATATTTATCCATCTATCATCGATCCATTGATACATCCATCCATCCATCCATCCACCCATCCATCCATCCATCCACCCATCCATCCATCCATCCATCCATCCATCCATCCATCCATCCATCCATCCATCCATCCATCCATCCATCCATCCATCCATATTATGTTAACATAATATATTTATCTATCCATCCATCTTTCCATCCATCCATCCATCCATCCATCCATTCATCTATTCATCCATCCATCCATCCATCCATCCATATAATGTTAACATATTTTATCCATCCATCCATCCATCCATCCATCCATCCATCCTCATATTATATCACACTGAAAATTATTTAAAAAAACTGAACTGAAAAACTAAATATATCGTAATTATTATTTATTAAAAGATGTTTAAAGTCATGGGTAATATATAAATATTCAAATTCTTGTCAAATAATTAATATTTGTTTAAAGTCTGAATGATTATTTTTATTAGTTGTTACAGTACAATATGCTATTCTCCAACTTTATGAAAACAAACAAACAAACAAACTAACAAACAGAGAGACAGACAAACAATCTATCAATCAATCATGCAAACAAACAAACAAACAAACACCAAAGCAAATCAGTACACTGCTTTCACTTTTTGATACCCACAAATGCCAAACTGAATCTGAATAGTTAGGTTTCGGGATTTCTCAATTCTACATCCTTAATTGACTCAGTAGTTTTGTTTCCCCTTTGTGGAAAGCACACACACACACACACACACACACACACACACACACACACACACACACACACAGACACACACACACTCAGACACACACACACACGAACACACAAACACACACATCTTGTTCATACACCATCAGTCAGTATTTCTTGACTTTTGTTAGACATACTATAAATATATAAAGAAGGAAATCGAGAGAAAGAGCTGTGCAGGTCACCTCTCTTTTTTGTGTTCAGAAAGTCATATGACCAATCATGTGACCTCCTCAGCATGACTTTAACCCTGACAGACATCTGGACAAGTGTGTATGTGTTTGTGTGTGTGTGTGTATGTATGTGTGTATGTGTGTATGTGTGTGTGCGTGTGTGCGTGTGTGCCTGTGTGAGTGAAACAGGATCTCCTCTCTCTCCCTTCTGCTTTTCTTCCCATCTCTCTCCCTAATACACACCAAATACCTGCACTTCACAATGAATGCATTCTTACACTGTCTCTATAGACAGACTAGAAGAGCCCTGTGTGTGTGTGTGTTCAGCATGACTCTCCTTCAGGTAGCTTGATTAATAGTGACTTCTGAGGGGTGGAGCTCTTTCAAGCAAAGACTTAATTTGGGATATCCCACCGTGTGTCTCACACACACATACACACACGCACACACACACACAGTCTCCTTAGTGACACAAGTTCTGCATGTCTGAATCAAGTCGCTCAATTTCTCTCTGTCTCGCTAATGCTTTTATGCCGCTTCATTACACACTTCTCCTCTGTCCCCTTTCTTCTTTTCTTTGTTGTAGTGAGTAATAATAGCCCCCGTCCATTGAACTCGACAAACTGGACAAAAGCAGCATTGGTGTGTGAATGAATAATACTGTTATATAGTATGTATTTTTTAATTGCATTAGCAGTGCACCACTCCTGTTTTGATGCGGTAGTATGGAATGAAGGGCAAGAGAACGTGACGCTCTCTAGAAGTGAGTGTCTTTTTTAAAAGTAACTGTTTAAAACATCTCATCGTTCCTGCATTGGTACAGG